CTTGCCTATAACACTTTCTTAGTAAACTACTACCAGAAATATCATGATAGTAATGTTTCTGCTGTCTGTAAGTTGGTGGAACACTCGGTGGCCATTGCTGTGCCAGTAGCTCAGAGTTCAAGACAAGTTTAAACTCGTGTTGTCTGGAAAAAAGTCACATTGTGTCTAAAACCCACTGTTGTCTTCCTCAGACTAGCCTAAATAGCCCAGATCCAGTTACCGTGCCTTAAAGAAATCACTGCTGATATCCTTTATTGTGAGATTGATCCAAACCTGCTGCTCAGGTTGTTCATTGAGGTACAGTTCAAACTCCCAGTAAGAATCCATGCAGGGATTTTCAGTTTAGGTTATACCTGGATACATTTGTGAGGAATAGCATTTGAACTAACTAATCAAGTTTTTTAACCTCATTTATGTTGCTGTTTCTTCTAAAAATGAATACATTTCATTATGTATGCAGTTAGAAGAACAACTCTCACATAGGTGTGGATCAAAGATGATATTTGTGGCACTGATGCATACAAGTCAGTGGTTACCAACCTTTTTCTTTTTGGGAATCTCTTTCTATCATTGACAAACTGACTGGCATTATTTTATGGATATTTCATATTATATTCAATAATAACAATAACAGCAGAGAACCACTGGAATGACAGTACAATGAATCCAAAACAGTGAACACAATAACTGAGCGGATTATTTCCTGTTAATATTGATCAGAGATGATTTTTTTCCTGATATTTTTATACAATTCTGTCTGTATTATGTTTTATTTTTATTATAATATATATATATAATATATACTATTATATATATTTATTTTTAACCTCAATATTATACATTTTAATAAATAATTATGAACATACATTACAACATAAGCCTATTTTCTGACAGGCTCAGTGTTTTCTTCTCATTGTTCTTAAGCTGTTTGGTTCTTTTAACTGTTCTAATGCAGAACAAGGCTGTTTAACAGGAGTGAGTGAAGGCTCTGTGGATATAACTTGTGTTCAGTCTCACCCTGTTCTTATCCTGTTTATAATCTTAAATATGTTTAGTTTTCTTCACAAAAATGAATGAAATGCTGAGATATAGGCCTACTTGTATTTATTTTTATTTTTTTGTTTTTGTTTTCTAATACTCCTTAAAAATTAAGAAGGCCCCTATTACGCTACTCGACTGGACAGGGAATTTAACAAAAATAAAATGCGGGTCAAGCCTCAAAAAAACAGAGAGAGAATAATATACTGATGCTAGTCCAATAGGCAAAGACAACCTGTATCCGTTCAAGTTTTTTAGTAAACACGTAAACCAAATGATTGAGTCACCTGAACTGAAGAATAGCAGTCACAAAGAAACACTCTCCACAGAGCTTCTTGCCTCTTTTAGCTAATTTATTTGTTTTATGGTGTAACTAGACATTCATGCTGGTTCAAGCTCTCGTTGCGACACTTCTTTTCGCAGCAGGCAGGAGGCAGCTCTCTATACTTACTACTACTACTACTGATACTAATACTACTGATATAATAATGAATACTTGCATAAACTTTATTTATATCTATATCTGGCTCATAGAGGTGCAGAATGAATAAATCTAGCAGGGAGCTGAAGTAGTTTAAAGGTTGTCAGTAAAACCAATTCTAAAACTGACAAAGAGAGGCTAAACAGGGCTGATGATGATGATTCTTGTGTTAGTTAAAAGCAGAGCATGCAACACTAGACACAACAACATTATTAGCTGATAACATGTCAGGGCTGTGTGTCTGCCAGCTAGCTGTGGAGTTCTTCTTCCCTCTGGTGGCCAGAAGCTGGTTTATGCAGCTTTAGGGTTCCTTCATTGTACGTCTGATTTAATGGGCAGTTCAATTGAACAATTGCTTGTTAATATTTTGACAGATCAATCAGCTTAGCATGTTGCAGGGTGCTAAATCAGTGAAAATGTCTGTCCAACTGAAAGTGCTGCTAAGCTAGTCAAATGTCCAGTGAGCAGTCCTCTGTTGTTCTCACCTGATTGGTGCTAAAGGGGCACTCCACACATTAAGTAAAATTGTATAATAATACAAATACAAAGATAAACAGATGGAAGTCCAAAATAAAAGAAATAAGTTCATATAAAATGATTGACATTTAAGTAAAGGAGATAACCACAAATAAGATGATTATAAGCGGTGATCTCATATATAAATAAAGAACAAAATTCTTAAATTTAAAACAGATAAAAGTGCAAAATATATTGAAGTTGATATAAAAATAGTAGGGGTGTTCCGATCTGAGTCACTTAATATTGATTATCTGCCAATACAGACGTCCGATACTTGTACTTGTTTAGATCATACAGTTCACACTGAAATCAAAAACTCAAACTCAAGAAATAATGATCTCAGCGTTCGCTCAGAGGCTACGGACTTTAATGGAAAAGCCAGTATTCCAAACTGGGGTGTGACTTATACTACAGACTAAAAGTCAGGATATCTCGGCCTCTGTTGCATCATTTTCGACCACTCTTTTTTCCTCTGTCTCACTAATGTCCCCAAACTTTATAGAAGAGCAATGCTAAATTGCTTCGATGGCCCTTAAATACAGTATCACTGCATACTGTTCAGCAGTATCATACCCTGAACCTAAAAATCATTCACCTGGCTGAGCTCCACCAGATGTTCCTTCTCCTTCTGGAGCTTCTGCACCGCTCCGTCCTTCTGAAAGAGCTGTTCCGACAGCCTCCTCACCTCACTGTCTGATGACTAGAAAGAGAGAGAAAGGTCATAAACAAAAATCCACTTAGTTAGGTAGAATTACTGTGACTTTATATCATTTTAGATAACACATAGGCCTATTTTTGAAACCAATCACTAAAAAAGTATCATGCTAAGTAATATCCTTCCACATATAGATTTTGTTCCTCTAATCTACCTCTGTTAAAACACTTCTTTCTGTGGTTATTAATGTTTTCCTCTTGGGCGAGCAGCCACGATGGCTTGTGAATACAGCGGTTTCAATCTGCAGGCTTTGACTCTGCAGCCACACCGTAAAACAATTATCTCCTTTCATGACAGAAACAGATGTCATTATTTTGCTTCTCTCTTAAGGACATCAAAGCTTTATTTGCATGTGGAACCCTGGCTCCCATTGAAGACATGCGGACCTAATGAGACAAGTGCGATAGTTTAAAATCTCTTAGAGCATTGGACTGCAAATGCGTACCAGCAGACCCGGGGAATGATATATGGTGGTGTCAATTTGTATGCCTATTTTTCAAAAAGGCAGCAAATATCTGTTTTACAGTAAATCTCAGAGTGGACAGATGAGGGAATTCCGCTGCTTTGGATCAAACACAGTGAAAATGACTGTTATGACAACATACCACAAATATTGGACATGGTTGCGTCATTTTTTGTTCAAAGCCCTGTGTCAACCATGCTATCAGACAGGTCTGGTCTTGTTGCATTGGCATCCTCTCACAGTTCTACAGTACTTTTACCACGTGGGAGACCAATTAGCAGAGAAAACCTTCCTACACCCTGAGTATCAGGTTCTTAACACTGTGACCCAAATCAAATTAATCTGTGTAAATCTGCAGAGGCTAAATCAACACCACCCTGCACCACGGAAAACTCTTTTTTCCATCTTCATGTACAGTGCTGTGAGTACATTCTTGTGGCATTCCTGAACAAAGATAGCATCGTAATCCTTTAATACACCTCAGTGAAACAGATAAAGGGGTTTGGTGAGGGGCTGTAATGGAGATGTCAGAGCAGCCTCCAGCCTCTGCTTGTCAGAGTCTGCCCCGAAGAGACAGTACTTCATCATGGCACGGAATAACTCCAAATGAAGCAGGAAGACTTTTAACTGTGACCTGAAGTTTATGACACAGAAACAGCTCAAACTGCTTAACGGATACTCTCTGATAGATAATGCTGTATGTATATCTAAACTACAAAGCCTTATTTTTGACTGATATATTAAATTCTACTGTCTGTTATGGACAAGATAGACAGCTTTTTTATGTTAGCAGTATTGTTTTTCAGCACTGAAAAATTAAAAATCTGTAATAAATCTTTCATTTATTATCAGTAAAGGACATGGAACTTAAGGTGGAGTCAAACTTCCAAACAGATCACTGTGTCTCAATGATCGCAGATGAGTTCAAAGGCTGTAGTTACACAAACTCATAGCCAGCAGGTCCTTGGTGTGTCAAATGGACCTCTATCCATTCAGCGGCCATTAGTGTCTGTGGCAACTGTCAGAGACCAACAAAAGAGTTTACAGCAGACAGACATCCAACAGCAGAGTGCTCCACAACCATCACCAACAATCAAGAATTACTACAGTACAAGAAAGTACAAAATGCAAGTGATGCACCTCTCCTATCACAATGATTTGTTTAACAGAGGTATACTGGAAGGATGTCTGTGCATGGATTGCCCGCCAAGGCAGTAAATGGTAACTGTGTCTCAGATTTTATGTGTAACTACTACAACTCTGTAATAAAAACACGCAGGGTACAATTAACCAATTCAACCATTTAGAGGCACGTAGAGGCCTTTCCAGGGCAGTCTATATGGCCCTGCATTGTGTTTTCTCCATTTTAAGAGCACCCTTGAGGGCACTTCATCACGTTTTTTTGCACATTGGGCTACAGTAGAGGGCACTTTTTCATGTTTTATTTACCATAGGGAAACCAAAGTTTCACCTTGGGCACATTTGTCTTCAGCTATTTTTTCTGGGAACCACATTTGTTGTGCAGGATTTCTAATCTGAGCATCATGGTTCACATTTTCATCTGCAGGGTGTGTGGATTTGACAGAGCCAGACATGAGAAACTGTTTTTTGATGGCTCATATGGGCCGATGGTCTATTTGACACCTAGGACCTGCTGATTTCAACTTTTTCATCAGCTCAGATCTTCTCTTATCTGGACTGTGGTCAGCAGGGCAGTAAGAGAACATTGTTCAGAGAATCAAGATGAGACAATCATATGGGGCTTTGGGGGGATTTGACTTCTGATCCATTAAACAACTTAAAACTACAATCTAATGAAAAGAAAATGTTCAACAATTTGGTACAGACACTTATTGACTTTCTTGCCTAGTTAAATGAAAAGATTAAAATCACTGTCTGTATAATAAATATGAAGCTACGGCCTGTAGCCAGCTAATTTAGCTGAGCACAAACACCAGAATCTGGGGACTGCAAGCTTGGCTCTGTACAAAGGTATAACAAAATCCTCCTACAAAATGTAATATCTAGTTTTTGTCATCTAATTGTGAACTAACGACATTCTAAATTAAGTGTCAACTTGTTTTGATTTATAAGAGTAGAGTTAAAGGACAGAAGCATACATGTACATGTGCTTTCAAGTTTCACTTTAATACCACCCAGAGCAAGTAGAGGCAACAGGAAACAACAGCTCTCTTTTTTGAAACAAAGCGTTAATATCAAGATCTTCTTGCAGCTTTAATTCATGGTCTTCAATTTATTTTACAACTCTGCCAGTCATCAGTCATCCTCTCTCTATATGAAGGGCATGCTCCAGGAGGTTATCCTGTGGCGAAGATAACATAATGTTCTACCTGTTTGTCCCGTTCCGCCACAGCCAGGGCGTTTTCCAGTTCATCCAGGTCTCTTCTGAGGCTGCTGCACTCGGCCTCCAGCCTGTCCCTGTGGAGGGCCAGCTGGGTTGAGCAGGTCTCCTCCTCCTCCAGACGCTCTGACAGGCCTGACAGCTGCCGCTCCAGCTCACGCCGGGCCTTCTCCAGCTGGACACAGTGCTGCTCGGACACCTGGGCACACTCCTGCTCCTGCAGGTTAACAAACACAGAGGGTTCTGCCAGTGTTGTCTTACACATACTTGTTACACATTTCACATTTCATTTTCACATACCATACTGAAGGTTATATTTTATAGAGTTTGGAATGGCTGGACATATTATCATACATTTTCCTTACTGCTGTTTTTTACACAGCTTTGTGTATTGGATCTGTGGAACCCACTATACCTACTTCCAGGTTTGCAAGCCTTTTGTATTATTTATTAGTGCTGTCAAAATGAATGTGTTTTGCAATTAATATGAAAAATGTAATGCATAAAAACAGTTAACACAATTAATGCAGCTGGTTTTTACTCCTACCTGTGGTGGCTGATCTATGATCTGTGACAACGTTTGGTGCCAAACCAAACCATCCTAGATAAAGACTGAAGGACAAGGACCAGGTTTTAGGTAGAACGCTTTACTTTAAAAAGTTGTCAGATGGATCTTTGGAAAAACAAAAGTAATCTTAACAGTCTGTAAAGATGAATTTATTAAGCAAAAAATCTTTGACATATCCAAGGGCCTCTGCAATCTACATTGCACTTGAGGGTGAATAACGAAACCTCTTAGTGAGAAGGTTACTAACTTTGACTAATTTGTTTGATTAAAAACTGCTGCCCAATTAACACAGTAGAAAACAATGGACTGGGAAGAATCCTTTGAATTGCGTCAGGAAACACCTCTTATAGTCTACCCTAGAGAGGAACCATTGTGTCAAGAATACACACCTTATATTAGGGAGCAAGAGGGCACGGAGGATGAACATGCTTGAGCAAGCGAAAGGAGGTCGCTCTTACAGGAGACCACTGGATTTCTGTGAGCAATGAAAACTACTTGGGCTTGATTCTACATTGAAGCTGCACTGGCTAACTTTTCTAAAATAACCTTTTGTCATATTTAACAAGTACAGTCTGTGAATCTGTGAAAAAAATCAGATTGCTCTGGGACCTGGGAATGAAATCAACTACCTTTCTCGGCTCTGATTGTTTTTGTTGAGATGCGATGGATTCTTGCAATTGCCATTAGGAGCTCTAGGGTGAGCAATAGAAACCTGCTTTTTTCACAGATTATCTGTATAGTAGTTTCAGCAAATATGACAAAAAGTTATTTTTAGAATATTTGCCTTCTACAGCTTAATCCTGTGATTTTCCATTTATATATTCATTATTACAAGCTTAATTCTAAATTAGAAAAAAGTGATTAATTGTGATTCATCATAGCAAATTACAATACATTTTTACAATTTTTTAATCAATCAGCAGCTTTATGATTTTACTATTTAAAAATGCATGAGTCATTTATTTATCTCTTTTTCTTGTATACTTTTTTAAAGCAACGTAATGTTAATGTTGCATTTAATCAAATTACTCTTTGTTTATTTTCTTTGTGAATTAACATAATATGCTGCAGCAGAAATATTATGATGGTTCCATTTTATCTTAACATGACTCTAGAAACTGTTAGATAAATAGACTGTAGTTTTGGTGGGGAGATGAACTAGTTAACAGAATTAGAGAGGAGAGAAAAAGAGTGAGGTCAAATGAGGTAGAGAAAATGGAGAGATTTAGTAAAAGGCTGAGGGATAAAGCCTTAATATGAAGGGATTAGCTGAATAAAAGTGGATGAAGCAAAGACAGACAATTAGTTCATACAAAGAGGATCTTACCGCAGGTTGTGCCACAAGATGAAACTTATCCTCCCTCAAGTCAGAAGAAACTTCTTTGTTAATTTGCAGTTGCCTTAATATAATACAGCTCAAAAAGCAACAAGTGACGTACAGTGCTGAACTGATAAGCAAGTTCTACCAAACGCCAGATCAACAGCCATCCATAACAGGAGTGAAAAGACCTGATTGTGAGAGGCTGCTCTGGTTACTGTTACTTTCTAATGGACCAGTCATCATGGGCAAGGCATTTGGAACGAGCTAATAGCATACCCAAATATCTGGGCATTTGTGAAATGATCAGGGAACCACATTTCCATCTGCATTTATTTCCATAAAAGTACTTGGTTTGAGTTCTCTCCCTGCCTCCTCTGAAAGCTCCTCACATCACTCTCGCCCTGGTGGTAGGTTATTTGCACTTTCAACACTTTCACAGAGTGATAAGTGAACAGGTGTCAGCAGGTATGACAAAAAGACGAGATCAGTCACAGCTCACCATGTGATGGACGCACACATGTGTCTAAACATATGTTCATACAAGTCACACACACACACAGGTTACTTCCCAAGGGCAGTGCAGTCTTGAGTGTGTCTAAAGTCACCCTCATTCACTATTGCTTACCTAGGAAAATCCATAATTTACTGCATAGCAAGCAGTAACTTGACATGTCTGACACTCAAACATCATCATTTTGCACTATCGCTTACAAGTGTAGTAAGTGTCACATGTATCATAGGTAAATCATTGCATTGTGGAAGTTTTAGCAAAAAGCACTGCACATAGTTCAGACACTTAAACTAAACTACAGAAAGAATCAATCAATCTTGAAGTGATTATTGATATGACAAAGAATGAAGAGTTATATTGGTACATTGATATCTGCAGCAACATCACAACACCACAAACATAATGATGGCTAAATTCTATTTAGATGTTTCGAGGCTTCCTCACTGGCATTGATTACCACAACCACTAAATGGTTTGGAGCCATCAGTAATAATATAAAAGGACCACTGTGTAGGGTTTAAGTTGCAGATTGCAACCAACTGAAACCTCTTGACTCAACTCAATGTGAAAAAGGCCCTATCTAGAAACAGTGTTTGTCCCTTCTGGGCTACTGTAGAAACTGTAGAACATGGCTGACTCTGTAGAAGAGGACTCGCTCCCTCTGTAGATCAAAATGACTAATTTTATGTTAACAAAAATACAATGATTTTCATTTTGTAGGTGATTATACACTGATTAAAACATACCTATCAATATTATATTCCTTGTCTGCCAATTGATAATCCTGAATGTTACACACTGAACCTTTTAAAAGGGCCAATTAAGGTTATTTATTAAGTTCTATCAGTAAAGTTAGTTTTACCATACAGCAAGTAGGCTCCACAATCAGCTACACATACTGTATTTACAAACTAGCAAGAGTTACCCACAGCTGCTATTCTGTGCTCCAGTGTGGTGCTATAGCTATCCCAATCCAGCTCTTCAGGTTCTGGTTCTGGTCCAGGATCTGCATGGTTTCCATTGGCTTCCTCAGAGTCATCAGAGAGGGAGTGGCAACGCCGACTGCACCTCACAGACATCATCTTGATATTTCCTCCAGTCTGTGCAGTCCCTTGCTTTGCAGACTTCACCTGTTTGGCAGTGTACTTGCTTTCCTGTCCCGACAGTGTTCCTGCGCTACTGCAAAGTCAGTTATTCACTTCTCTGTCTCTTTCCTTGCTTGGCGTACAGCTGTTCTGGTTGTTCCAGGTGGGTTTCACTGGGAGGAACAGTGCTAATTCACTCACTGATGGAGCGCCAGTGTGTACTCTCCCAGCAGATCCTCTCTCACACATTAGCAGCTCTGCTCACCTTTCCTTTTCTTCCTCACACAAGACTTAATCTGTCAGCCTTTTTTTTTAATCCTCTACCCGAGCCTTTGGTTTTTTTTCTCTTCTCTCTCTTGCTCTCTCTCCTCTCATTCAACTATTCTTCTACGTTTCATTTAAGAGTGTGCTGGTATATGCTAGTAAAATCCAAACATTCCTGTGTGCGTACTTCCAGCCTGCCCACAGCCTGCTACTGCTGCTAGTAACCCTATGTAGTAACCCTATGCAGGTAGCTAAAGCTCAGTCCACTCTTGTCTTAGACCTTCTCTTTCCTCGCTGTAGTCCTCCCCCAGAAACAGGTGGCTCTCCCCACTTTCAGGGGATCCGAAGGTGTCCCACAGGGATGGCGGTCGGTGTAGGATGTCAGGTCAGGAGAAAAGCCTTTAACGTTGTACCGTCCTGCCACAGAAACACAGCCCTCAGCTGTACCATCAAAGCCACACCACAGAAAGACAAGAAAACAAGGGCAGTATTCCAGAGTGAAAAGTGCCTTTCCTCCTCTCAGTCTACGTTATAATTGACATAAATGTCTTGTGCGCCCCACGCCCACACAGTCCCCCCACAATGCCACGGCATTCATCTTAGCAAGAACAACGAGGGATATTGTGCTTTAGATTGTAGGGTGGATGATTTTCTTGAATGAAGCCACCGAGACCCACAAAGACTAGACTAAGCATTTCCATATCTAAAGTTAACATCAAGCAGGGTCGCAAGATGGGGTGATGATTAAGGTAGGGTGGATTTAATAATCCCATGGGAAATTTGGCCATTGCAGTAGAAAATAGTATGAACAAAATATATATGTATAAACATATCCTAACCATATAGAAGTATGTATACATACATAATTAACTCAATACTAGAACACATTGAGAAGAACAATTTAAACTGAAGAGTGAAAAATGTACTATTTGATTAGGACACTTCGTTCTTAACCTTGAAAACTTGGAAACCATTTCCACCAACCGTTTTCCGGGTCTTTTGACCATATCACATCATGGTCTTCAACAGCAGATAGAGTTTGCTCAGATATCATGGAACTGTAGATGCCTAACTCTTTATTATTCAAAGCATATTTGGGGAAAAGAAGAACAGAACTGAGTAGTAGTAAAGATTTTGTTGCATGCTTTGAATAATGGAGAGTCAGACATCTAAAGTTCAATGATATGACAGCAAACTTCATCTACTAATGAAGACAATGGAATACAAATGAAAGCTCCAGAGTAAGCTTCTAATAAGTGGACCTTAAGTTAAATGTTTTTTTGTCCAACTCTATCATTATTGTTTGGAGAGATTGAGCGTTGCTAAAAAATGTGAACTATGTACCACAAGAGATACATATGCAATATATAACCATAAAGATTAACTGTATAGGAAGAAAACCAAATGTACAGCTACTGGATGTGAAAAATGTTACTTATGTTCAGATGAATGGGTCTACAGAGAGCCATACATTTGTACTTTACAGGGCAAGGAGACATAAAGATGTGTACTTACCCACCTTTGTGATATATGCACCTTATCTTTATTGTGTTAACATGTACAGAATGTGCAGATTTGAAAACATGTGGTAGCCATCCATTGTATCAGAAACTGCAGACAGAGAGGCCATCTGTGGTAAAATGGGCAATCAACATGCAACAGCAATGATGTGAAAAACAGAAACCTACACTAAAATATTAGTATAGGAGTTTTGTACACAAATTACTCATACCACCAAGACAAATACCAGCATATTCATTGTACAGCATTTAGTGATTCTCATTCTAAACCAAAGGTTGTGGAAAAGCTACCATATATGACCTTTTCTAAATTGCATAAAGCTAGAATAGCACTGAATTTAAAAGTACCCAAAATTGGACACAGTTATATGAGCAAGGATAAGCACTCTGCCAATGCCACTGAGCCGTGGAAGACATCCAGTCACCAAAAAAAACATGAAAACACAGGATTTCTGAGAATTCAGATTGTTTTATTTTGACAATGTGGTCTGGGTTCTTGTGTGGAGAGGGAGCACAGAGAGATCTGTTCATGTAACTCCCACTTGAGCTGGACAAGCCAGAGACACTGAGCAGCCTCTCCACACACCGCTCATGTCCAACACCAACACTCATATCATATCTGACAAGAAGGCTGCCAGTGAATCAGATACGCAACAAATCCAAATGCACACTAGATTTTCATCATACCAACTCTAAGGCTTGAACCAAGAAACACTATAAAGGCAGGCCAATTTCCTGTTTACAATGCTGTTCTTATTCATCAATTCATCAAGAGATCTCAATTGAAGTGGATACTGATTACAGAGGTAGAAGGTAATGTAAGGACATGGTTACTGTAGATGAAAGCATTACAGGAAAGCCCTCCGGTTACACAGATGATCTCTGACTAGTATGTTTGGCTGCTCCGTGCTAAATGCAACCCATATTCTGAGAGTCAGAATTCATAATAGTACCTCCATGAGGTAAAAACCTGGCATTTAATTGCCAGCTGCTTTTTCAGCTTTAAGGCAAGATGAGTGATAACACTGGAGGGAAGAGGAGGTTGCGGGTTCAGCTGCCGGATGCTTTTGATCCAAGATATTTACCATGGACTCTTGTAAAAAAGACTAAGGTTCTACAGCCATAGTAGTGACACTGTGAGGCCGTACTTAGGAACAATATGCTCACAGTGACAGTGTTAACATGCTGATGTTTAGCATGTCTTTGTGAGTGTTAAGGTAAGGGTTAGCTTGCAAGTACAGATGAGACTGATGGGAATGTCACTAGTTCAAGTGTAATTGCCTATATAGCTGTTAAATTAAAAATTTTAGATTTATAAGTATTAGCCATCATGCATGGTTTAGGCAATAAGAAAGCAGAACATGTAAGTAGAATATGCAACAATCCATGGTTCATTGTCCTTTGAGAATATAAAGTTGCTAGCTACATTAAAGTCCTCCTTCACTCAAAAACGTCTTAGCTGTGCAGACCTGGTACATGCCAAACTCAAAAAGCAACAGCAGAAAATATTCTTTTATTCTGACACTAATTTGTTTTGCAGGTATGTGGTCATAAACCAAAGTATTGAAAATTTTTGAAGGGAGATGAACGTGTTGCAATAATTTCTGAGGACGTGTACAACCAAAGCTCCAAACGGACACAAAATATGCAAGGCAGTCATCATGCAAATGGGTAGTAAAAAGCAGGTATATCTTCAGCTTCAGTGGGGCTATCAAAGTTATGTGCATTCATTGTCCGTGAGCTATGAAAGTTTCCAAGTTATCCAAAAGTTGCAAAAATGTTAACCTCATGGAGGCTCTAGAAAAAAAGTTGTGATCTCCAAACTCATTGGTGATGATAAACATCGGTACAAAATTATAGTGCACTCAATCCAATAGCCGTTGAGATATTTTAGTCTGGATTAAATTCTTGGAGCGACTGAACAACCAACATTGCCATCCCCTACAGTAATGCTGCTAGTATTGACAAAAACATACAAACAAGAAACACAACAACATACCATCTGACCAAGAAAGATCCTGTTTTAATGACTGAATGAGAAAAATCCCAAGCTCAAAGCAGAGCAGAGAACAGAGTATAAAACATTTGCAGAATTTAGCTTCCTATTTCTCATGCATTCAATCTGACAGTGTCTACATAACTGCTCTGCCTAGACTTTCACCCAAAGCTCACCTCAAAGTTTATCTCTCCTGACCAATTTGTTCATACATTCAATTGCTTCCTTCCCCTTGCCCTTGAACATCAAATCAGTCTTCCATTCCCTAGCCTCTCCTCACCCTGCTTTCTCCACCCCTCCCTACCGTCATTCATCTCTCCCTGCCAGTCTTTTGTCCCAGAGTTTGCCTTGGGCCCCAGAAACTTCAGAGCCAGTCCAGATTGAAAGTTTTTCCACATGCAGAACTGGGGCATCTGGATAGCTCTGCAGGAACGCTCCACATTTATTTCCCATTAGCAGTAATTGAGGGGTAAACAGTGGACTTTTCTCTGTTTATATCCATTTGTACCAAAAATGGTTGAAACAACAGTAGAAGCAAAGAAAAATCTTTTCTTTTCCCCTTTTTCTTGCAATGGTAATCCTCAAACTCCTCATTTAGTTTTATTGTTGTTTTTTTGCTGCACTTCTTAATATGAGTAGGTCATCACAAAGAATGGGTGGTACTGTCACGTCTCTTTCCTGTGGTTTTTCTGAGTTTTCCCTTGGTGGCACTCTTTAATGGCTAGGGATGGCAACCACATTGGTCCAGACTAAAATATCAAAAAAATTATGACATGACGATTGAATTTTGTACAGACATTTTTGGTCCCCAGAGAATACATTCTCCTGACTTTGGTGAGCCCCTTACTAACCCTGTAGCACCACCATAAGGCTGACATTTGTGGTTTTAGTGAAACGTCTTAATAACTATATAGTGGATTGCCATGATATCCATGGTGCCTAGAAGATAAACTACTGTAGTGTCCCCGCAGGTCATCCTTTGATTTATCCAGTGAAATATCTAAGCTGGATCTACTGGATTGATTGGCACATTGGGTTCATGAATTTTCTTCTAGTGTAAACTCTCTTTTGGTTTTCAGTGAAATGTCTCAACAACTATTGGATGGATTGCCATGACATTCGACACAGACATTCTTGTCCTCCTCATTTGTAGTAACTTCATAAAAGCTAACTTTTCCTTAGCATCATCATTATGTCAGAATTTTATTTTGTCCAATTATTTTGGTTTATGGCCAAATACTTGCAAAACTAATGACATGCCTATCAACCTCAGTTGTACTTTGTTTTTAGTGCTAGCAAATGTTAGTTAACACACTAAACTAAGATGGTGATCATGGTAAACATAACTGCTAATCATCAGTCTTGCTAGCATTACATTTAGCTAAAGACACTGCTGTGCTAACCTTGCTAAGCAGCTGGACTCACAAAGTCACAAGATCATACGACAGTGGTTTCGGACCAATCAGAGTCTACTGGCAGCTATTGCATGGTTTAACATTAGGGCCGTGTGGTGATGTGTGAGAGAAGTGACTGCTTGCTTAAAAACAACGATACCACCTGCTAAAGAGGCTAGTGTAGAGTCTGCTAGCATTAGTTATATGAGAACTGGAGAGTATTTCTACATTGGAAGAAGAGCAAAGAACAGCACTGAAGGTTTTTCTTGATGGAAAATATGTTTTTGCTCTTCTCCTGACTGGTTTCTGTAACAGCTTGACTATGTTTGGCTGTGATAGACATCCAATCACCAATCCCCATAGGATGTTTCCAGTGAACCAGAGAGCTACAAACCTATAGCATCAGGTGTTCCGTACAAATAAAAAGGATTGTTTTCACAGCCTGGATTATATCATTATAGCATAATATAATAGCTGTTTCTTTCCTTTTTTTTAGAGCTGAAAGTTTGATAGAAATCAGTTACTTTTCATTCAACGTTTAAAAATTTTAAATCACAAGAATGTGGCTCTGTCAGGACAGTGTTGACCTAACAGGGCA